AACTGTAAATGAACAAGCCAAAAGTATTTTGACACTGCTTTTGCTCTGTTCACATACATCCCTTGATAATTTCTCCATAGTTTCTATCAGACAACAAAGATTTTGCTTCCTGAAATTTTTTAGGTATATGAGGGTGGATGTTCATTCTCCGAGCTTGTGGGTTGGTTTCCAAACATTTCGTTACCAGGCTAGATAACATTTTCAGTAGAGTTTAGGGCACAGGTCGGCAACCTGCGGCTCCGGAGCCGCATGCGGCTCTTTGAGCCTTTCCCTGTGGCTCCCAGCCTCCTCTGCCTTTGCAGAGAGAGAGAGACAGAGAGAGGCAATTGCGCTTCCCTGCTTCAATCTCTCTCTCTCTCTCTCTCTCTCTCTCTCTGTGTGTGTGTGTGTGTGTTTTGTGTGTGTGTGTGTGTGTGTGTGTGTGTGTGTGTGTATGTGTAAAAGAGAGTGTACTCACATGTTCTCCGAGGAGCTGAAAAGCTTACTGGGCGGAGCTCCTCCCTTTGCTGCATTTCTGCAGGAAGCAGGAAGCAGGAAGGGCAGGAGAGAGCTAGCTAGCCCAGCTAGGCTGACTCAGGAATTCTGGGAGTTGAAGTCCATGAGTCATAAAAGAGACGAGGTTGCCTACCCCTGATCTTGTTGGACAACAGCTTGAAGCTTGCCAGGTGAGCAGCAGATAGGAGGGGGGGGGAGAGAAAGAGAGAGAGGGAGGGAGAGAGGAGAGAGAGAGAGAGAAAGAAAGAGAGTGGGGGAAGAGGAGTGGTAGACCAAGGGCAGATAGAGAGGGAGGGAGAGAGACAGAGAGAGAGAGAGAGACCCTCTTGACATCTAAAATGAAGATAACACTGCATATATCCTTTTTTTAACCTGTGTGTGTATGTGTGTGTGTGTGTGTGTATATATATATATACACATACATACATGCATACATACATATACATATATATACACACACACACACATACACACAAATACCCCCCCCCCACACAAACACACACACCTATAATAAAGGTAAAAAAGGATATATGCAGTGTTATCTTCATTTTAGATATCAAAAGGGTTTTGCGGCTCCCAGTGTTTTGTTTTTGGTGGGAAACAGGTCCAAGTGGCTCTTTAAGTGTTTTGGGTTGCCTACCCCTGGTTTAGGGGATATCAGTGCCAGTGTTCTTATGTTTATAAGGGCTTTGTGTGGTCAGTAGCCCACATGAAACCTTTATAGATGTATCTTATAAATTTTTGGCTGCTAACCAATAGCATTGTTATATATGTGAATTATGTAATTATTTAGTTAGATTAAAAAGAAACAAAAAAGATGAGATACCTTGCTCCACAGAACAAATACCATATGGTGTTAATGATGTGGCTTAAAGATCTGTTAGTGGAGCCAGAGAAAATCACCTGCAAAACTTTCAAAGATGTTATTGAGAATATTCTTGGCAACTGCAGAGCACCAAACTGCATTTAGCTGGCTGATAAACTTCTTACAGCATACAAGACCATGAAGTGCAACATGTCACTGAAGAATCTTTTTTTTTTTTTTTTTGCATTTACACTTCTTTCCCAAAAATCTAGATGCAGTCAGTGATGAACATGGAATAAGGTTTCAGCAGGATATTGCACAATGGAAAAATAGTATCAGTACTAGTAGAATCCATCAGTGCTAGCTGATTATTGTTGGACACTGCAGCAAGATGCAATGGACATTGAATACAAACAACAATCAACTTTGGGGCCCTGTTGAACTCATGCAGCATGCCAAAAATATTATGCAATTGAATATATTATAGTCACTAAAAGATAATTTCATATTTCTCAAGGTTCCTACATGATATAGTCATTCTGAAATTATATTTGTGTTCTGTTTGAAAGAGTCTATCATAATCACCAAAAGTTTTTTAGGAAGCAAAATGTTTGGAAAACAAATTGTGGCCCAGTTATATGGGCAAAGAAAAGGAGAAAGAGGATGGAATGGGAAGTAGTAGTAGTAGTAGTAGTAGTAGTAATAGTAGTAGTAGTAGTAATACTAATATTACTACTACTACTACTACTACTACTAATAATAATAATAATAATAATAATAATAATAATAAAGTTAGAAGGGACCTTGGAGGTCATCGAGTCCAACCCCCTGCTCAGGCAGGAAACCCTACACCATTTCAGATAGATGACTGTCCAGTCTCTTCTTAATAACTTCCAGTGTTGGAGCATTCACCGCTTTTGGAGGCAGGTTGTTCCATTGGTTAATTGTTCTAACTGTCAGGAAGTTTCTCCTTAGTTCTAGGTTGCTTCTCTCCTTGATTAGTTTCCATCCATTGCTTCTTGTCCTGCCCTCAGGCACTTTGAAGAATAGCTTGATTCCCTCTTCTTTGTGGCAACCCCTGAGATATTGGAACACTGCTATCATGTCCCCCCTCATCCTTCTCTTCATTAAACTAGACATACCCAATTCCAGCAACCGTTCTAATTGTAGCCCTGTTCACATAAAAGATTTGTGCAGAAATCTCTAGTGGCAAGAGTATCACTGCTGTTGCTTATTAGAACTGTTTGCATTATTTTTATTTGTTCCATTTTATTTCAGTTTATCCTGATCTCATTCTCCTTGTTCTCCTCCTGCTATTTCACTGGCTCATTTGGAAACCTGTGATTGCACAGAAGCTGAAACCTGATACTAGAATGAGCAATGAAGCTTTTTTTTTTTTTACAATGATAGAAATGTTAACTTCTCAACTTGAAAAGAAGAAATGTAAGACAGAGGAAAAGCTTTTATTGAAAAACTGTGGTTTTTTTTTTTACTATTTATTGAGAGTAAGAGAATATTAAAACAAATCCCAAAACCTTTTGGAAATGGATCTTCTGCCATTAATGGCTTAACTTGATTTTTTGGGTGCATCGCTTCTCAGTTGATGAGATGGAAAAGAAAAAGAGCTGGAAATGGGGGAAGTGTGCTATGAAAATTTGGAAATAATTGATTGGTTTTCATGTTAGAGCAGTGGTTCTCAACCTGTGGGTCAGGACCCCATTTGGGGTCGAACAACTATTTCACGGGGGTTGCCAAACAACGCAGTCTGTCATTTTTTCCCCTTTTCCTTAGCTGTGCTACTTCCTTTTATTCTATTGGCTTTTGAAAGCCAATAGAATAGACTCTCTTGAATAGAGTCTAATTCTATTGGCTTTCAAAAGCCAATAGGAATTGTCCAGGCTGTCTCTGCCCTGCTGAGCCCTCCAAAAGTCCCATTCTGCAAATGGTGCTGCACCAGTTGAGTAGTCCTCGACTTACGACCGGTTGAGTAGTCCCCGACTTATGACCGGTTGGGGGTCGCGGCATTAAAAAGGTTGAGAACCACTGTGTTAGAGAGTTCTCACTTCTCCCTTTATATAACAGAAGCAATGGTAAATTTGTATGTTTTAACCTTATTTGGTAAAATTATACTGAATGAACAAGCTGGGTAGGCACATATATGTAAGGACCAGAATTTTAAGGAAACTCTTGATTAATGCACATGTCATAGGCTTTGATTGTTGTTGTTTAAAATAAAGTGAAATAATTTTTGCTAGATTCTTTTTTCTCTTTTCACTGGTTGCTCCTTAATATAGCATTAAAATAGAGCAGTGGTGGCAAACCTGTGGCACGCGTGCCAGAGGCGGCACTCAGAGCCCTCTCTGTGGGCACACGGGCCGTTGCCCCAACCTTGTCTCCACCCGTGACCCCCTCCTCACCAGCAACCCCCTGGAGGAGAGTCGCCCCTGAGCGTGGCCCACGCAGAGCAGCTCAGCCAAGGACGTGGCAGCCAGGCAGTGTGGACAAGACTCTGCCCTCATGCCCCATCGTGCACAGTTGATGCTGCGGGGCGTGGGCAGAGGGCGTGGCTGCCATGGTGCTGCTGGGCTGCCTGGGCGATCTGCGGCGGGCCCTGGAGGAGTGAGTGGCCCTGCAGGCAGGGTGGGGCGGAGTGGGGGCAGGGCAGGGGTGGGGCCAGTTTTTGGGCACTTGGTCTCTAAAAGGTTCACCATCACTGAAATAGAGCATCTAAAACTTATTAATATGCTGATAATTTCAGTGGCTCCTCTGATTAGCAGCTGTAGTGAGGAGAACATAATGGATAAGTATAAGTACATAAAATCTATGGAGATACTTCTTTTAAGACATTGCCAGACACTAATGGAGACACCAGAAAGAAAAGTTTCTCCAAGGAGTTGCTTCTTTTTTCCTTGATTGGATTTTCTAACGATCTGGTTCCTCTCTTGTGAAAAAGTGCATGATTGGATATCTGTGTTATATTTATCAGTTGTGGCTGGAATATGCTACTTTTCATCATGTAGTTGTTCCATTTTTTTTTGCTTCTATGGAGCAATGATTTAAAAAATAGAGAAAAATTTGTTGTGCACAACAAAGTCCCTCTACATAAGATAGAGATAACTCTCTAAATATGATGGACCTCAATCCAAATAGGGTCCACCAGAGACGTGAAAAACTTCTTACCTGGAATACAAAATCCAGGTAGGGAATGGAAGAGCTTGTGGCCAGGCTTTGGAGCTGATAAGTTTTGTAGCCTTCATGTAACAAAATTAATAGGATCCTACTTCTGTTGCAATTTTTTCATCCCTTGCTATATTGCGCATGATACTTTATTTCAAGCCAATGCTCAATCAAGGGATTGTTTGGATGCCCAAGGATTTGCATTAAGAAGAAATAATTCTCTGAACCATAGAACCACATGGATCTAAAAAAACACCTGAACTGTAATGTAAAGATGTATCAGTCCACTGTTGCTTGTTCTGACTGGCCACAGCTCTTCCCAAACTCAAGAAGAGATTTTTCCAGACTGTAACTTTTGCTTGAATTCCCTTTAAATGCTGGAGTTTAAATATGGATCAGCCTATATGCAGCACTGCACATGTGTTCCTCTCATGAAGATGTTCAATTTAAATTGAACTAAATTTTATTGTGATTTATCTGTTTAATTATTAACTTTTACTTCTTTCCTCTACTGACTCTGCAGGGCCTATATGAGCATGAAGGAACTTAAAGAGGTCCTTCAGCTGAACAGCACACACTTCCTCAATGTCTATTTTGCCAGCTCCGTGCAAGAAGAGCTAGCTGGTGCTGGCACCTGGCCTTGGGACAAGGATGCCCTCAGCCATCTGGGTAAGTATAGCTCTTGAGGCTTATCAGTTGGCTTTGGTACATATTACGTACCTGTTATAGTTACAGAGCCAGTTTCTTGTAGTACTTAAGGTGTTGGCCTACAAATTAGAAGACCTTGAGTTCTATTACCATCTTAGGCATGAAAGCCAGTTGGGTGACCTTGGGCCAGTCACTTTCTCTCAGCCAAACATACCTCACAGGTTTATTGTTGTAGGGAAAATAGGAGGTCCTTAAGGACTATTGGTATGTTCACTACCTTGAGTTGGATAGAAATGAAAGGCAGGATAAAAATATTTTTTAAAAAATTCATTCATCATTATCCTTCTTCATGGCATAAGCCCAGTTTAGGCTAGCACAGTGGTGTGTAGTCATTTCAGGCTGAGGATTGTATTGGGAATGTGGTTGTCAGAGTAGACAGGGTTAAGGCAAAAATTGTGTTTGATTTAATTTTAAATAAATGTGAGAACATTCTACAAGTATTTAATAAATGTTTCTTTTGTTATTTTAAAGTGAAACTGCTACTTAAATGTTGGGAAGGTACAATCAATAGATAATCATGCTCCACAGTTATAGATAATGATCCTTAAAAAGTCAGTCTTTCCTTTTCTCCTACCACCTTCTAGTTTGCTTCTTCCATGTATAGATAATATGTGCAGTCTTGAAGGGAAAACTGAAGATCAGCCTTATACATATTAATAAACGTGGAGCATAGTTAGTCAGGAGTTCCATAGGAACTTTGTACTCATCTCTGACTATTTAAATGAGGTTTTCTTACCAGATCTTCAAAATGAATATAATAAATATATATTCTACAGCTGTTTCGGATTGTCTTTAAGAGAATCTCTTCTCTACAAGATATTAATAATGGGAGTAGATACAAAATTAGGACATCCACTTTCCTTTTACCTCCTTGGCTCAGGTGCCTTTTGACAACAAACTATATCTCCATGACATTATCATGTACTGTACATTTGAAAAAGGAATTTTCCAGAATTTTTGTTAAATTTAAAAGGAAATATTATAAAATATATATCGTAATTATTATGTCATTATACAATAAAAATGCATCTTTTTTTCTACAAAGTACACTTGAAAAAAATAGCCATTTATCCATTTTTATTCAAAAGTTTGTATATGTAGTTTACTCCTCATGTAAGAATGGCTTTGGGAATATCTGCACTATTTTGGTCAAATTTAAAATGTTAAAACATTATTTCATTTATGATATAAGCCAAAAGGAAATATATGCACCAAAGAGATATCAGAAACAGTGTGACATATATACTAACTTCAATTTATAAAGTTAGTGATCCTTCTGGACATTATCTGTCAAATGTCATATATACTGAAATTTTTTTAGCCCCTTTTAAGATGATTTTGTCATGTTAATTGGATAAAAAAATAACATAAAAAAATCCAATCTGGATATTTTATTAAAGAGGAGGAGATATACACTAAATTAAATATTTATTTTTTTACTTACTGGATTTATAGGGCTGCCCGTTTCACACATATTAAAAACAATAAAAACATGTACAAAAATATAAAATCCATCGAAGCCAGTAAAAAGATCTGAGCTAAACTCCAAGATTCACATAGTCACGCAAGAGGCTCCATTCAATACTTGGGCCCCAGGCTCACAAACAGAGTCCTGTCTTCAGACCTTACAAAAGGACAACAGGGATGGCTCCCATCTGATCTTTGGAAGGATGGCATTCCAGATGGTGGGTCTATGATAGAAAAGGCTGTTCTTCTGGGCTCTTCCAGCTTGTCACTCTTTAGTTGATAGCATCCAAAGCATGCACGGGATGGGTTGAAACAACCAGAAAGAGACAGTCCTGCAGGTAACCCTTATATTCTTATAGAGGTTATAGTCACTTCTTGTGAGATGGGCAGTTATATAAGTTTGACAGATAGACAGACAGACATGACCCTTGTTCCTTATTTGCCTACCAGTTTGTTTCGTAATCACAAGGGTACATTTGAATGCATTTTATATGACATATCTATGCAATAACTATGTAACTGAGTTGTTGGTTAATATAAGTGTGCAGAATCTGCCTGCACAACTTTTATTTGCTGTCAGACAAAATCTTTTTGTATCTGAGAATTTATCTTTAGTGGTATGCAAAAAGGGGAAAAAAAGCCAGAGTTGTAATAGAGTAATATATGGGTTATCGTTTTGGTTGTCCTAGAAGTACATAGACAAATTTAATATCTGAATATGATATCTTCATGTATCTTCTTTGTGGAAGTCTGCCAATTGGAGCACAGTGAAATGTGCAAATTACATCATCCTATGCTATTTTTGGAATACTGATCTAAGTACCCAGCTGGCCTTTTGTTATAAATCTGTATGCCTAAATGGATTGATTTTATTATCTTTCCTGATGAGACTGACAATCTATATTTAGGGTCCTCAGTGTGACCTCTGGTTCAGCATGATTATTAGTCATTGTGATTATAGTAGATAAAGAGAAACCATAATGGAGCAATTTCTTCCCTAACATTTGCTTCCAGAATGAGAGGAATTTATCTAACAAAATTAAGAATGACATTTTAATTTTACCAAAGATCAAAAATTCTTACTACTTCACCAAACACTGTTTAGTTCCATTTAATACATAGAACTGGATTTGGGGATTCTTGTAATCCACTGGGCATTTTGTGCCCTGCAAGTTAAAAGTCCACTGCATCTTGGAGGATAGCACCAAGTTACTTGAAGCATTTCATTTGTTCCACGATTGTTCTTCTGAAGTCCATTTTAGCATGCTGGTTTCATAGCAAAAACAATGTTTAGTTTTAGAATAATTAATTGATAGCAAATGTTCTTTCCAGCAGTCAAAGAAAGGATTCAAGTATCTTCTTCAACCTATTAGAGTTCGAGAGTAAATAAATAACAAAATTGCCTTTTTATAGTAATATTGAGAGAGGCATAGAAGATGCATCAAAAGGTGATAATTTGGCCTATCTAAATATTAAGACCACAGAAGTGATGTAATGATTCAAAATGTAATACAGTCCCATTTAACCCATTTGTCTGCTGGAATTTCTCCTTTAAATAAGTTTCAGGATTGCATCAGAATTTCCAACTAACATACAAATCAGAAGTAGCAGATGGTGGTCAGTTGTGGAGTTCACTCGTTCTTTGCCAGTATAATTACAAAATATTAAATCAAAAGTACATTTAAGAGCAACAAAACACCCCATTCAGGGCAGCAACTGGTTTGGTGCTATGTTTTTCAGCCAAATGTGATAAAATTAAGGCTTCTTTCATTTATGTGCAGCCTGAATAAAAGCCTGCATTCTCATCTGCCGTATGTTTTCTGCTTCAGTCCAGCCCAAAATTCTACCAGAATATATACCATTTATTTGCCATGTTAATAGAAAGACAATTGAAGTGAAATTCATTTCCATTTTGTAACAGTTCAGCATATTCTTTGACGCCATTGAAATTTGGGTTTAATAATGTGTAAAAACAAAGAGGCCAAGAGTAGTTCTAGAATGATTCTTGATTTTTTTAGAAGAGATGAAATCTATTCTTAATGCTTTAATTGATTGCAGTTTCTTGGCTAATACTACGATATCAGAAGTTCAGAGAGCCAATTGGATGGCAATTCATCAACAATATCAAGATCTAAAGTCAGCTTCCCATTCTGTCTTTTAGTAAATAATTTCTGAAATTGATCTTCCCAACCAACCACGTATATATGTGATTATTTAGTCCTGAGGGCTTCTGGGAAAAGGTCTGGCAGTTACTTGCCAGAACAAGTACTTCTGCCAATTATACAGCAGAAGTTTGAGCCAGAAGTAGAGACTGCCATTTTATTTTTGATTTTTAAAAACTTACTATTCTATCTCAGATGCTGTGTATTAGCTTAATATTTTTGAACGACCTTAATAAAAGGCCTCTCTTTTTTGCATTTAAAAAATCTTCATCAAGCTAGTACTTTTCTTTCTCTCTCTCTTTTCAACTTGATTTGGAACTCATCACTATTGGATCTTGTACATGGTAGTAAAGTGGTACCTGGAAAAATACTGATGGTCCGACAAAGAATATGGGTAAAAAGCAGATGGCCCACCAAAGAATGTGTATGAAAGGGAGGTTTGTTTTGCTTACAAGACAACTCTTAAATTTAGGATGGCCAGACATCCTGTTCCCAGCTCTGCACATGATATATTACTAACTGCTTGTCACATGGTGTATCTAAATTGCTTAACACTTGATATATTGCTGATTGCTAAAAACATTCCAATGTAAACGAGGAGCTATCGATTATAGATCTGTCTAGTAGTTTTTCTATAGAATGTAACCATGTGTGGAATGTGACCTGAAAAGAGTTATAAAAATGGTCATCAATGTACAATCTGGGTTCAGATTTCTTCAACCAGGATGGCTCTCTGAACCTGCGCGCAATAAACTTCCCTTTCCTGAAAGAGCTGATTCAAGTTTTTCAATTCTACAACATTTTCTGGTGCATTGGCCGGGAAAAGCTTGAGTGAGGCGATATTTCGCTGAGGATGGCTGGACCCTTCGGACTTGCTGGTAAGCCATCTCTGAACAATTCTCCAGGCGCCATGGGGGTGTGTTTCCTCCAGGAGACAGCTGTGGCTTCTCAGCAGAGCCGACAGTACTGAAGGCCAGTCCAAGAACCCTTTGGGAAAGGAAAGGAAGTCTGAACCAACTCCTGGCCAGGATGGGTGTAACTACAAGGCAGGCGAGTATGTGTTTAAAGTAATGGTACCTATCTCATTTGAAGATAGAAGAGGGGGCCTGATCACTCCCCTGGACTCGGGACGGCGATCCTAATGAAGTCCGTGTTAGGTTGTGTGGGTGGTTAAGCCAGTGCATTCCCTACTAGTGACCGCCGGCGCTGTAGGTCATTGGCAGTGTGTTAGGATGGGGGGGCGTAGTATGGATGTGGGGTGGCCCCCAGAGGGGACTTTTAAGAAAACTATCCCAACCAATTTCAGTATATAGATCAGTGGGGGGATGCAGT